CTCATGCCCTCAAATTAGGCTCCAGCACCCGCGAATGTGGGCCTCTGTCTGCCCGGAAAGGAGGCTGGGGACGGGGCACCGCGCATCCCCCCCCCCCGTTGGGCAGGTTTCCCGGCCGCCCGCCGGTACCCGGCTCACACGGCACAGATGGTTGGCGCGCCGCGAAGAACGGCGGGACCTCCGCGCCCGACCAGTTGGCGGGCCGCACAAAGAGACCCCTTAACCCCGGGCCGGGCGAATGCCGTTGCAAAGAATGCCCCGGTCGTCACGCCTGGGCGGGTATCACGCCTGCCCCGGCCGCAAGCTCATCTGGGCACTGATCGTGTTTGCGAGCGCCCCCCTTCCCCCTGGCTGCTGGCGTAAGAGTCTCGCACGTGCGGGGGGGGGGGGGGGGGGGCGGCCGGGGAGTCCCGAGTGAATATGGCACGTCTTTCGCCCGGGGCCGGGCAGGGAAGAAGGCATCCAGACCCCGAGGGCCGCCGGGCCGTCGATCGTGGCCGCCGCCGCGGCCGCCGGTCTGCGGAGGCCCCAGCCGGGACCCCGGAGCCGGCCGGCTGCCAGCAACGGATCCGACCGAGGACCGGGCCGCTTGTCCCGATCACCGGCTTCTTTGCCGCCCTTGAACCGGGGGTGGAGGGCAAGCCGGAAGATCAAGCATTCTCCGCTCTTCCACCCCGCCCGCCCTGGGCAGAAGCCGCGCTGGGTGGCGTGGTTGCCGGCCGGCCGGCAGGGGGTGGCCTGATCGCTTGCAACACCTTCCGCTCTCAGGCCGGGGGGAACGGCAATGCCGGCGCCGGAACGCATCCGCCGCACGTCCCCCCCCCCCTGGTATATATGCCGGGCCTCCCTGGTGCCCGGATCGCCCTCCCCCGGTGATCGCCCGGCATCTGCCATTTTCTTCCCCCCCCCCCCCCCCGCCCCCGCCCCCGACCTCACCTCATCCGGAGATGACCTTCCTCCAATCAATCCTGGCCCCCCTTTTGCGGCCCCTCGGGTAGGTGCTGCCTGGCTGCCCCCTCGGCTTTGTGTGCCCGCCCCACCGCCATCCATCTCACCTGCCTGCCCACGCCACCGCCCTGCAGCTTCGTCCCGGTCTCCTCGGCCAACCTGCTGACCCCGGGGCCGGCCCAGGACGAGGACGACCCCCGGCTGGACCACCAGATCCTCCGCCACAGCCCGACCTTCCCGCTGTCGGTTCTCCTGCTGACCGACTCCTACAAACTGAGCCACCCCTTCCAGTACCCGGCGGCCAAGCGCGTACGTCACCCGGACCCCTCGGCCGGACACTCTCCCTCCCTCTCTCTCTGTGTGGGACATCTTGCTGTGCAACACACTGGCAGACGGCGGGCGGGGGGGGGGGGGGGGG